GTTTAATTCTTCTACATGTTGCCCTCCAGTTCTCCCAGCACCACGTGTTAAAGAGGCTGTCGTTTTACCATTGGATACTCTTTCCTCTTTGTCAAAGATTAGTTGGCTGTACATTTTGGGTCCAGTTCTGAGTTCTCAGTTCTACTCCATTGGTCTATGTGTCTGTTTTTGTGCCAATACCATACTGTCTTGATGATGACAGCTTTATAGTAGAGAGTAAGTCTGGGATGGTGATGCCTCCCATTTTGGTTTTCTTCTTCAGTATTACTTTGGCTATTTGGGTTTTTTTGTGGTTCTGCACAAATTTTATGATAGTTTGTTCTCGTTTTGAGAAGTATGCTGGTGCAATTTTGATGGGATTACATTGAATGTGTAGATTGCTTTGGGTAGTGATGACATTTTAACTATGTTTATATTCCAATCCATGAGCATGGAATGTTTTCCCATTTCTTTGTGTCTTCTTCAATTTTCTTCGTAAGTTTTCTATAGTTTTCATCATACAGATCTTTTACATCCTTGGTTAGGTTTATGACTAGGTATTTTATGGTTTTTTTGGTTATTGTGAATGGGATCAGTTTCTTGATTTCTCTTTTGTTGCTTCATTATTGGTGTATAAAAATACAACCGATTTCTGTACATTGATTTTGTACCCCGCAACTTTGCTGAATTCTTGGATCAGTTCTAGTAGGCCTATGGTGGAGTCTGTTGAGTTTTCTATGTAGAGTACCATGTTGTCTGCAAAAAATGAAAGTTTGACTTCTTCTTTGCCTCTTCTGATGCCTTTTATTTCCTTTCGTTGTCTGATTGCTGATGCTAAGAATTCCAGCACTATGTGAAACAACACTGGTGAGAGTGGACATCCCTGTCGTGTTCCTGATCTCAGGGGGAAAGCTCTCAGTTTTTCCCCGTTGATGATGATGTAATTGGGTGCTTCTCATAGATGGCTTTTATGATGTTTAAATAAATTCCTTTTATCCTGACTTTTTCAAAGGTCTTTATTAAGAAGGGATGCTGTATTTTGTCAAATGATTTTTCTGCATCTATTGACAAGATCATATGATTTTTATCTTTTCTTTTTTTAAAAAATTTTTTAAATGTTTTTATTTATTTCTAGGAGAGAGAGAGAGAGACAGCGTGAGAAGGGGAGGGTCAGAGAGTGGGAGACACAGACTCTGAAACAGGCTCCAGGCTCTGAGCTGGCAGTCAGCACAGAGCCCGACGCGGGGCTCGAACCCACGAACCGTGAGATCATGACCCAGGCGAAAGTCGGACGCTCAACCGACTAAGCCACCCAGGCACCCCTATCTTTTCTTTTTTTGATGTGATGTATCACATTGATTGATTTACGAATATTGAACCAACCCTGTAACCGAGGAATGAATACCCCTTGATCTTGGTGGATAATTCTTTTCTTTTCTTTTTTTTTTTTTTTTTTTTTTTTTTTTTTACAAATAGTTTATTGTCAAATTAGTTTCCACATAACACTCAGTGCTCATCCCCACCAGTGCCCTCCTCCATGCCCATCCCTCCTCCCCCCACATCCATCAGTCCTCAGTTTTTGTCAGCATTTAAGAGTCTCTCATGGTTTGCCTCTCTCCCTTTCCCCCACCATTTCCCACCTTCTTCTCCCCCTTGTTCCTCCATCAAGTTCCTCCTAATTCTCCTATATGTGTAAACATATGATATTTGTCCTTCTCTGCCTGACTTATTTCGCTCAGCATAACACCCTCAAGGTCCATCCACGTTGCTATACATGGCCAGATTTCACTGTTTCTCATTACCATGTAGTATTCCATGGTATAGATAAACCACATCTTCTTGATCCATTCATCTGTTGATGGACACTTAGGCTCTTTCCATGTTTTAGCTATTGTTGAGAATGCTGCTATGCACATTGGGGTACATGTGCTCCTATGCATCAACATTTCTATATCCCTTGGGTAAATTAAGGAAACTAACAATAGAACTCCCCTATGACCCAGCAATAGCACTGGATAATTCTTTTCATGTGCTCTTGAATTTGATTTGCATCAAATATCTTGTTGAGGATTTTTGCATCTGTATTCATCAAAGATATTGGCCTGTAGATCTCTTTTTATCCTTCTCTCTGTATGACTTGGGAATCAAAGTGAGGCTAGCTTCATCAAATGAGTCCAGAAGTTATACTGAGTGAAATAAGTCAGGCAGAGAAGGGCAGCTACCATATGTTTGCACGTATAGGAGGATTAGGAGGAACTTAGAGGAGGACCGTGGGGGAGAAGAAGGGAGAAAATAGTGGGGGAGAGGGAGGGAGACAAGCCATGAGAGACTCTTGAATGCTGAGGACAAACTGAGGAATGATGGGTTTTGGAGGGAGGACAATGGGGGAGATGTGCATGGAGGAGGGCACTTGTGGGGATGTGCACAGGGGGTTATATGGAAACCAACTTGACAATAAACTATCAAAAAAAAGTACCTTCTTCCCTGACTTTCTCGAGGGTCTTTATTAAGAAGGGATGCGTATCTTGTCAAATCCTTTTTCTGCGTCTATCTACAGGATCATATGTTTTTTTATGTTTTCTTTTCATAATGTGATACATCACATTGATTCTATTTCGAATATTGATCCAGTCCTGTAACCAAGAATGAATCCCACTTGATCATGGTGTAGAATTCTTTTTATGTTCTGTTGAAATCGATTTTCAAGTATCTTGTTAAGGATTTTTGCATCTGTATTCATCAAGGGTATTGGTCTGTAGTTCTCTTTTTTTGCTGGGTCCCTGTCTGGCTTGGGAATCTAAGTGATTCTGGCTTCGGAAAATGAGTCTGGAAGTTTTCCTTTTATTTCTATTTTTTCAAATATCTTGAGAAGAAAGAGTATTAATTCTGTTTTAAATGGACCTTGAGGGTGTTATGCTGAGCGAAATAAGTCAGAGAAAGACGAATACCACATGATTGCACGTATAGGAGGATTAGGAGGAACTTAACGAAGGACCAAGGGGGAGAAGAATAGTGGGGGAGAGGGAGGGAGGCAAACCATGAAAGACTCTTGAATGCTGAGAACAAACTGAAGACTGATGGGTGTGGTGGTGGAGTAGGGAGATGTGCATGGAGGAGGGCACTGGTGGGGATGAGCACTGGGTGTTATATGGAAACAAACTTGACAATAAACTATTTAAAAAAAAATGTCTGGTAGAATTCCCCAGGGGAAACCTTCTGGTCCTGGGCTCTTATTTTTTGGGAGATTTTTGATAACTGATACAATTTCTTCACTAGTTATGTTTCTATTCAAGTTTTCTATCTCTTTCTGCGTGAATTTTGGTAGTGTGTGTGTGTTTAGGAATTTGGCCACTTCTTCAAAGTTGTCCAATTTGTTGGCATATAATTTTTAATAGTATTCTCTGATAATTGCTTGTATTTCTGTGGGATTGGTTTTAATAAGTCCATTTTCATTCATGATTTTGTGTACTTCAGTGCTCTCTCTTTCCTTTATGAAAAACCTGGCTAGAGGTTTGTCAATTTTCTTAAATTTTTCAAAAAAACAACTCTTAGTTTCACTGATCTGTTCACCTGTTTCTTTGACTTTTATATTGTTTATTTCTGCCCTGATTTTATTATTTCTCTTCTCCTACTGGATTTGGGGTGCTCTTGTTTCTCTCCCTCTAGTTCCTTTAGGTGTGCTCTTAGATTTTGCACTTGTGCTTTTTCTAATTTTTGAAATATGCCTGGAGTGTAATGTACTTTCCTCTTAGGACTGCCCTTGCTGCATCCCATAGAGATTGGACTGTTGTATTTTCGTTTTAATTTGTTTCCATATATTTTTTAATGTTCTCTAATTGCCTGATTGGCCCATTCGTTCTTTAGTAGGGTGTTCTTTCACCTCCATGGTTTTGGTGGTTTTCCTGACTTCTTCCCGTGATTGATTTCAAGTTTCAACGCATTATGATCTGAAAGTGTGCATGGTATGCTCTCAATTATTTTATATTTTTTGAGGGATGCTTTATGACCCAGTATGTGATCTATCTTGTAGAATGTGTCATGCACGCTTGAGAAGAAAGTGAATTCCATAACATCAGATTGTCGAGTTCTAAATATATCTGTCTAATCCATCTGGTCCAATATGTCGTTCAGGTCCATTGTTTCTTTAGTGATTTTCTGTCTGGTTGACCTATCCATTGGTGTGAGCGGAGTATTAAAGTCCCCTGCTATTAGTACATTCTTATCAATAAGATTGTTTCCCATGAATCCAGTAGAAGGCACTAGTCTTTGCGTTTACACAGTAAACCTAACACCTTCAGAGCATGCTGGTGCTACTCGGGAGTGGACAGCTTCCAGCCTACACTCTGGGTAAGACCTCAGTCCACTTCTATTATCATGCTATTTGTGCTTGTTTACATGGATCATTAGTTTCATTTTCTAAGGATTAAGAGCAATTTTTACTTGGAATAGACATTTCTCTTTTTTTTTCTCCAAGTTTTCATCCATGTTTAGTTTATTAGTCAATACATTCTGAGCTTGGGTTGTTCCTTCCAGCCATTGGCTCTCCTTTTTCCTCCTCTCCTCGTGCCCCACACTTGGGAAATCCCACAGGAAACCATGGGTTCTCCATCTTTTGATACAGGTGGGAGTCTGTCTCCACAGAAGCCCCTCCTGGGAGCAGGACCTCCTCCCCAGTGACCCACAAACATGCCCTGAGGCAGTGTCCATTCCTGACTCCATCCAAGCATTTATGACCTGTTGAGAGGCCTACCCTTCTCTCAATAGACATGATGATGAAGGTGATGAAGGTTTTATAATACGTGTGTGTGTGTGTGTGTGTGTGTGTGTGTCTGTGTCTGTGTCTGTGTGATCTTCAGATTCCATATCAACGCCACCACTTGGTGAGAGTCCCAATGCTTCTGTGCTTTCCGTTACAATCGATGTTGTGAGAATGGTTCAGACAATGACACCACCAGGAGTCTGTCATCTATTGCTTCAATTTTTGATGTCTCTGTAACCTCACGTCCAGCATGCACTTTATGCTACTTGTAGCAAGAGTGCACGTTGAGCTGGATGGTCCTGTGATGCAGTGGGTGCATCTGAAATCCTGTAAAGCTTTGTGTGATGTGCATCAGGATATCTGTAAATAATTTGTATTTAGGTACAGGAACAAGCAAGTGTAAGCATCTGTTTCTTTTGTGCCTGTTAGGTTATTTGCCCTATTGTAGGACAAGAATAAGTAAGCACAGAATCAGGTGTCCAGGGAGTCTCCCTGGGGGGAAACTGCTGTCTGGAAAAGAAGCCCCAGACCCTGACAAGAAACCTGCCTGTAATGTTGAGGAAAGTTCTTGTTTAGAGTAATTGAATAAGGCAGTAACTCATTTGAAGTCCTGAGTAGCAAAGTGCCATGAATGAAGTGTCATGTTGTTTGATTGGGACGAGAGCTGGGTGAGGTAATGACAGACTATGTGGATTTTATGATCCTGGCTGCACAGTGAATGCATCTGGGACTCCTGTAAATCTTCAGCTGATGTGCATCAGGGTATCTGTAATTCATTCATATTTAGGGACAGGAGTAAACAAGTGCACGCAACTGTGTCTTTGTGCATGTTAATGTAGTCTTACGACACCAAAGTTTCTAATTTGGAGAGTTAGTAGGAAAGCACAGAATCACGAGTTCAGAGAGGCTCCCTGGGGGAAAGTGTTGTGTGGAAAGGAAGCCCCAGACCCTGACAGGAAACCTGCCTGTAACCTCCATCTGTCTCTGCTCTTGGAATATAAACCAGAGCTGTGCATCGTGTGCACCCCCTGGTGGTGCTGATCCCCTTCTACAGGGAGGTTTGTGTCTGGGCTCACCCTGATGACTCCTCACTGTGTCTCTCGCACAGAAATACATGGCCGTGTCCTCGGCTCTCAGGTTGTTCATCTGCAGAGAGAGCGTGTTCTTGGCGTTGTCTCTGGAGATGGTGAATCGGCCCTTCACGGAGTCTGCATAGTATGTGTAACTTCCACTACTACTAATACTTGAGACCCACTGCAGCCCCTTCCCTGGAGCCTGGCGGACCCAGCCCATGGCATAGTCACTGAAGGTGAATCCGGAGGCTGCACAGGAGAGTCTCAGGGACCCTCCAGGCTTCACCAGGCCTCCCCCAGACTCCACCAGCTGCACCTCACACTGGACACCTGTAGACACAAGACATACTGGTCAGGACACTGTCACACACGCACGGTTCCTCACTCATATCCACTCACATTCTCAGTGTCTCTTGTTCACCATGAATTACCTTTTAAAACAGCAACAAGGAAAACCCAGCCAAGCACAAACTCCATGATGAGGTTTCTGTGTTCTGTCCTGATCACAGAATGCGAACACCTGGGAATCCTGGGGCTGGGGCTCCTCTCCCAGCTGCAGGGTCAAGGCTGATGTGTTTTAATCAGCTCAGGCAGTGCCCTATTTGCATGTACTTTTACTGTATATGAAGCTCCCGATTTAGATTTGCTTCTCTGAAAGTTAAAAAGAATGTTTGATGGGCACTTTTAGTTCACTTTGTGTAGAAGGTGCTGTGATATATGAAGAATTCTATCTGTGAACACACTTATGTTTGCAGTTGTGTTCGCCGTTGTACATATCTTTCTCCAAGCAGGTCATGTTTAGTATGCTAATATTTTACTTTTTAGAGAAATTTAATCCTAAAGATTTTATTTTGTGCCATTTAATTTTAATATGCGTTTATTTTTGCATGACAGGGAGAGAGGGAGTGAGATACCAGAGAGAGGAAGGGGGACAGAGAATCCCAAACAGGTTCTGCACTGATGCGATTAAACAATTGGGATTAAATTCTTAAACCATGAGATCATGACCTGAGCCACGATCAACAGTATGAACTTAACCAATAGAGCCACCCAGGTGGTCCATTTTGTTCCATTTTAAATTGTTGATTTAAATTGATTTTGTTATTTTTTTCATATACTTTGTTTTTAGTGTGAAGAAATACAACATATTTTTGTATGTTGATTTAGTATTCTGAAATTTTCCTGAGTTTGTTAATTGGTTCTAATACTTTTTTGTGGAGCTTCTAAGGTTTTACTATATATACAATCATGTGATCCTCAAAAAAGTAATTTTCTTCTTTCTTACTGATTTACATGTCTTTATTTCATTTTCTTACCTAATTTTTACGAGTACATCTTCAAGTTGTAGAGCAGAAAGCTTTTTCCTTCTCTTCTCCTGTGTTCTCTGTCTTCTCTAATTACTCAATTGACATAAGACATATCTACAGAAGAGAATAAAATTCATTTTGCATGTGGATGAGCTTCCTAATAACATGACACCCATAGATGAACAGAGTAGGTGACACTTGTGCCTTTTAAGAAAACAAAACAGGGGCGCCTGGGTGGCTTAGTCGGTTAAGCGTCCGACTTTCGCTTAGGTCATGATCTCGCAGTTCGTGGGTTCGAGCCCCGCGTCGGGCTCTGTGCTGACTGCCAGCTCAGAGCCAGGAGCCTGTTTCAGTCTGTGACTCCCTCTCTCTCTGACCCTCCCCTGCTCACGCTGTCTCTCTCTCTCTCTCCTAGAAATAAATAAAACATTAAAAATTTAAAAAAAAAAGAAAAGAAAACAATGGATTTGTGAAGAGTTGACAAAACATTGATTTGGGTTCAGTCTACTCAATTGCTCCTCAGCAATTTGCTACTTCCTCAAGTAGCAAAGCTTGTTTGCACAGCCTTCTTGGTGCTAAGCTCTTATTTCAGGGGCTAAGGATCGTTTTTCAGGGAAGGGAACTTTCCCAGGGTAGATTTAATTCCTGTTCTCATGGGAAGAAAGGATTGTCACAGTGTCATTGGACTGCTACTCAAGTGACTTTCATCCCAATGAGCAATGTGACAAGATGATATACGTTAGATGGCATATTTTATTCTCCTTCATGTTACTATGTGGAATACCTATGTTGTGGATGAGCACCCTTGCCCGGCTCCTGATGTGACAGGAAAGGCTTCAGTTTTTCACTGTTGAATATGCTGTCAGGTGTGGGCTTTTCATATATGGCCACGATGTTGTCCAGGTAAATTATTTCTTTTACTCAGTTGTTTAGATTTTTTAACAATGACCATTTTTAAAATTTTTGTCTAAAGTTTTTATATATCAATAGATGATGATGTAGAATCAATCCGTCTCTGTTAATGTAGGGTCTCACATATACATATTTGTGTATGGTGAAGGATCCTCGAATCCCAGGCATGAGTCACCCTGAATTCATATGATCCTTTCAATGTGCTGGTGCATTCACTATGCTAGGAGTTTTCCATGTACGTCCATCTGAGATATTGGCCTTTAGTTTTCTTCGTGTGGTGTCTTTAGATTTCGCCTCACAGTACGGTTCACCTTGGTACGGTTAGGGCACCTTCCTTTTGAGTTTTTGGTACGAGTCTAAGAAGCATTTGGCATTAAATCTTTAAATTTTGACACAATTCATAGATAAAGCCCTCTGGTACTAACCTGACTTTTTTTTTTTCAGGGGAGGAAGATTAGATTATGGATTCAATCTTCTTTCGTTTTCATTCTGCTAATTTTCTATTTCTTCATGAACAGTTTTGGTGGATTATGTAACTCTAGAAATTTCCTAATTTTCATTGGTTATCTAATTGTAGGTGCATAATTACCTAAGTATTTGCTCTTGTTGTTATCACTTCTTTGGTATCAGTATGTCCCCTCCTTAATTCTGATTGTATTTATTTCTTTTAGTTTTACCTTCGTAGTACAGATTCTTTTTAAATCTCACTTACTTTCCAGATACCAATTTCAATCTTGTCAGTTTTTGTATTGTTATACTCTTTATTCCATTTATCTGTTCTAATAATTTCTAAAGTGAATTGAATTAACATAATGACAATGAACTTTTCTGAGAAATCCTTATGGTACCACAAAGCACATGGCAGTGAGAAAATAATCATGGAAAAGAAGAACAAACTTGGAGATATCGCACTTCCTTCTTTCTAAGTATATTGCAGAGGTCCATTAACTACAACTGTGTGCTGCTGGCATAAACTCAGACACATAGACCAACGGAGCAGATTATGGAGCCCAGAACGAAACGTGTCCAGATGCAGTCGGTAAATCCTCCAGGAGATTTCATAGAATGATCAGTAGAGAAAGAATGGCTTCTTTCAGAAATAGTGTTCAATATCAGTGAGTACAGAAATGACTTTTGGCCCTTACCTTATACCGTACACATATGTAGACTCCCATTCAGCTCCTTCCTTGGAGTCTGGTAACCCATCTCATCCATTAGCTATTGAAGGCGAATCCAGAGGCTGCACAGGAGAGTCTCAGGGACCCCCTCCGCAACAGGATTTATATGGTCTCCCACAGCCTGGCCCAGCTGCACCTCACAAAGGACACCTGCAGACACAAGACAGGAAACTGTCACACATCCACTATTTCTCTCACTCATATCCACGTATATATTCCGTGTCTCTTGTGCTTGTTCATCATGAATTACTGTTGAAAATAGAAACAAAGAAAACCTAAGAGACCCTAAACTCCATGGTTAGATGTCTGTGTTCTGTCCTGATCTCTGAATGTGAATACTCGGGAATCCTGGGACTGGGGCTCCTGTCCCCCCTGCAGCTTCAAGGATGGTGGTTTAGTCAGCAGACTGATGTCCTCTCACTGTATAGTACATTTTGCAAGGAGAATCCTTATGAAATCAGTGACCTGGGCAGGTCTAATGGATAGGGTATTGTTTGGTGCCACAATATCCTTCAGGACATTGTGATTTATTATTTTGTGATTTTGCTGCAGTGATTATTTAATATCTATGATAATCCTTATTTTCACGTATGCGCCGAAACATGTGAGGTAGGAATCAATATCCACTACTGTACAGGTAGACAGATACACTGTAGCAGAGAGGTAGTGTGTGAGTGTCCAAGAGAGCATGTGAGGTGAGAGTAGCCCCCAGGATCTGGACCTATGCTCCTTACCATGGGACTCACCTGCCCCCTGAACCACGTGCAGGACAAGGCTGGACATCCCAGTGAGGTCTGCAGTTTCCTGACCCAGTAGACATCCCAGTAGAGTGACGTGTGGAAGCCAGGTCTGTTCTGTCACACGGATTGGACATAGTGAGAAGCCCTGACAGAGACTTACAGAGCTGATGGAGATGCCAGGGTTTTCTACAACCACAAGAGCTCATTTACACATGAACTGTATGTGCACCTCAATGGAAAGCCTCAATAAGGGGCGCCTGGGCGCTCAGTTGGTAAAGTGTCCGACTTTGGCTCAAGTCATGATCTCACAGTTTATGAGTTCTAGCCTCTCGTCAGTCTCTGTTCTGACAGCTTGGAGCCTGGAGCCTACTTCAGATTATGTGCCTCCATCTCTCTCTCTGCCCCTTCCCTGCTCACACTCTGTCTGTCTGTCTCTCTCTCTTAAAAATCAATAAAAATGGGGCGCCTGGGTGGCTTAGTCGGTTAAGCGTCCGACTTTCGCTTAGGTCTTGATCTCGCGGTTCGTGGGTTCGAGCCCCGCGTCGGGCTCTGTGCTGACTGCCAGCTCAGAGCCTGGAGCCTGTTTCCGTCTGTGACTCCCTCTCTCTCTGGCCCTCCCCTGCTCATGCCGTCTCTCTCTCTCTCCTAGAAATAAATAAAACATTTAAAAAAATCAATAAAAATATGTAAACCAACTTGACAATAAACTATTTAAGGAAAAAATCAACAAACATTAAAAAAAAGAGAGCCTCAATACAGTTAAAATGGTTGAGTTAAAATATGTTGAAGGCAACACATCAAATATCAGTAAGAATAATGTTAATTGAAAATAATCTTCATCTATGAAATGGATATCATTGTTCTTCTAAACTCTCGTTAAATGACAATGGTCAAAGATAGTTTTATGCCAGTGCCTGACCCTAGACAAGTTTGGGTATTCCCATGATGATGGTTCATTCCAAACAGGGAAGACATTTATGTGTTTCCACCACTTTTACAAACTCTTTCCTGTGTTCATGTCAGAAGTGTGCAGAGCCTGGATCTGAAAATCCTTGAGAGGAGACCAGCCCTCAACCACCCTGTTTTCCTGGATCATGAGCTCCCTAGTTACTGAGTTCCCCCTGGTGGTTGTGATCTACCCTCGGTGGTCCTCATGCTCCCGTTGTTTCATAACCCCCTGCAGAAATATAGGGATGCCTTTCTCCCTTCCTAACTGATCCAGCATGCAAGTGTGAGACCCTTCCACCATGAGCACTGCAGACCCTCCTGTTCACAGGATGACTCCTCCTGTGTATCTCCCATAGTTGACCCCTTTATTCTGTTCCTTGCTTATAAATCTCCAGGTATATTTCCTGTAGTCATTGGTGACAAGCAATTTTATCTGCTGGCAAGAGTCAGA